GGCACCCCGCCCATTCTGGCCCCGTTTTGCAGGTAAAAGGGCTGGAATAGTACAAAGGGGTCCTAAAATCTCTGTATCTAGTCAAGGCAAGGATTCCCCTGCTTCAGACACTGTGGAAGATCGCCATAAGTGGGGTTACCAGATAGCGAAAAAATGGGACGGGGTGGGGGGTAATAGGCACCTATATAAGAAAAAGTCCCAAAAAATGGGACCGTCCCTTTAAAAACGGGACAGCTGGTCACCCTAGCCATAAGGTTGCCTTCCGTGGACCCCCTCAGAAGCCCTGGTGAAGTGAGTATGCTGGGGAAAGGGTCACAGAGCACATAGTGCTGCAAATAATCAAGACTGCACTGCGGCAATAAAGTAGCTCCAACAGGTTGTTGCTAGGAGCCTCTCTGGCCCTTGGAGCAGCCTAGGGTCAAGAGAACACAAAAGTTGCTTAAAGCCCCAAGGAACTTACTTGGATATTTTTTTCTAGAATAGTGCCAGGCACGTAATCTATGATTCAATAATTACAATAATAATAATTAGATTTTTCATGTACACTCCTGCAATCCCACTGACATTTATAGGGTTGTACTGAGGTCAGACTTTAGCCCTAAGTTACTAATAATTTACGGTTTGTTCTTTCTGGAATAAATGTCCTGATTCTGCTGCCTCCTGTGGCCAGCGCAGCCTTACAACAGCCTCCCTATGGCTGCAAATGGGTTGCTCTGCAGCCCAGAAAAGCCATAATGCTGAACACTACACCCACTCCTCTTCCTGTCCTCCACACGTTTATTCCTACTTCCAGCATGGTGGGGATAGCATAGAGCATGTCAGCCCTATGCAACTTCTACCCTGGGGACAGTTTCCCCTCTGGCTGTTGAAGCCCCATTTGCTGCTGAGGGCTCTATAGGGGCCAGGGACAGAATCTGGCCCCCTGTATTCTTGTAGCAGATCTTCCATTTTAAGAAAACAACCAATAGTTCAACAAACATTTGCTGCTAAAGTATAATCTACGTGTGTAGTTTGGAAAGATGGTTCTGTAAGGAAGTTTAGATGCCCATTAAAAATAAAGGCCCTTGCAATTCCTGTATTGGCAAACTCCCTCCTATTGACTTCAATGTAAATTCAGTACACAGAGGGCTGGCAGAATTGGACCCAAAATGACATTTACTGTGAACTGACCTTTTCATTATTTCTTCAGGACCCTGAAGAGAAAATGAACATAAAACAGACTGAAGAAGAAAAGAAAAGGGAAAGGGCAAAAGAAGAAAAGCGTTTTAGGGAAAGGTTTAACAGGAAGGTAGAAAAGCAAAAAGAATCTGGAAAGACTAAATTGAACAGGATAACTGTGAAGAAGGAGGAGCTTTAATTCTTATTTAAAAAGACTTCAAAGAAATCGCTAAAGTTTGGCGTTTCTCTAATTTGTTGTATAGAGGTTCAGATGTATTCTTAATAACTAATTTGAAAGTAATATTTAAAACTTCCTCTAATAAAACTTTGTTAGAACTATTCATTTTTATGAGATTTAAATATATATTTCTAGCACAGGAAGATATTAAGAAAAATGTTTCCTGTAAATAGAACATGGAATTGAAAGAATTCAATAAAAAAACCTTATTAAAATATATTAAATTACATATTTTGTATTTGAGTTAGGATTTGGTATATATTTCTAAAAGAAGGGCCATTATATTTCTCTTGATGCTGTTGGCATACAGTATGTTCCTCTGCAGTGAGAAGTCTTGTAACCAACCTCTTTGGCGCTAGACTGTTTTATACTTTCATCATTAATATTAATGTAAAATACATGCAAATTGTGTCGTGAAATTCTCCTTTCATCACAAAATTTGTATTCAGTGTTGTACCCATGTTGGTCCCAGGATATTAGTGAGTCAAGGGGGGTGAGGCAATATTTTTATTGGACCAACTTCTGTTGGTGAGAGAGACAAGCTTTTGAGTTTACACAGAGCTTGAAAGCTTGTCTGTCTCACCAACAGAAGTTGGTCTAATCAAAAATATTACCTCACCTGCCTTGTCTCTTCATCACAAAAACTTTTTCAAAAATTACTTTTTTCAAAGACAGCATTCCTGATCTGTGAAGTATATGTTGCTACATAACATTGTACAAAGTCTTAATGAAGAAAGAAGGCTTGAAGAACTTCCATAGTAATTATGCTTGTGTCATAGTTATAGGGCTAGCTGCTTCCCTGGCCCCTTTGTAGTATCTCTATGTGCACCTTCAGACATGCCACTCCTCATGCCTTCTGGGAGTGGAATTTCACAATTCTTCTACTCCTAGACCAGGCCTTGGATTATAGAACCCTGTGTATGTACTGTTCTTCCCCTGCAGGTCCAACTTAGTTCGGCCTGCAGCTCTTCCCTTTCGGAGTCTGTGACCAGTGATATACAGTGATGAAACACCTTTCTTAAAGCAAAAATTGTATTTATTTTGTTGAAGGAACAAACCTTTTAGAGAAAAGAATTTTAAAATAGTAAAAAGTCTACATGCAAATCTACCTAACTTAAAGGCTTACTATTGCCTGAGGTAACCTAGGCAGGTCTAACTTCTTCAAAGTGGTTCCTTTGTCTCAGTTCTAGCTCTCCTGAAGAACCCTCTCCTGAAGAGTGGCCCTTTTAAGCCCTATTATAGGCTTTTTATTCTCCTGCGTTTCTAGACTTTGACCCTTCTGGTCAAAACCAGTAATGTTAGACTCAGCTGACAATCAAGCCAGAGTCCTCGGAGCCAGTGGTTCTGGCATTGTCCCTTAACAGTCCTCAAGTGTTTGCTGAGGAGTGACTAAGTAAAGGCAATGTTGCCTCATGTATAGAGCAGGATTCTCTTCTTGGCTCTGCTACTAGCCTGTGGGTAACTTTGGGCAAGCCATGTCACTGCTCTGTGCCTCAGTTTTCCCCATTTGTAAAACAGGGATAATGATACTGACCTTTATAAAGTACTTTGAAATCTACTGATGAAAAGTTCTAGATAGAGCTGAATATTATCTTGAGCTATTCTTTTCCTCTCTGTTTGTTTTTCTTGACAGACTCTTGTCAAGTTAAACTTATACTGTCCTACACCCCAATAACCAGGCCAACATAGCAGGATGGCTCTTGCTGTTTCTATGGAAAAATTGCTACATGTAGCCAAGTTATAAATCTTTGCAAAATCTTAATTTAAACTTACTTAGTAGAGACTTGTTAGAGTTTGGTAACTAAATTATCCAAACATTCCAGCACTACTGAGCATGCTCCAGCTCTGGGTTGAGCAGGACTTCTGTAATTGTTGCTCCTGACTGTTATAGGCTGCTGTGATACAGGAACAGAGAGATTCTCTTCTGTGCACTCAATGCTCCCCCTACTGGTGCCTAGGCAGCATGAAGGAGAAAGTTGCCTGGTTCTAATGCAGAAGTGACAAGAGCAGTACTCGTCTGATGGGAGGGACAGGAAATAACAGAGGGTGGTAGATTTGGACAAGGAGCTTGAAGGGGGACTGGTGATAGGGTGACTAGACACCAAATGTGAAAAATCAAGACAGAGGGTGAGGGTAATAGGAGCCTATATAAGAAAAAGACCCAAAAATCGGGACTGTCCCTATAAAATCGGGACCTCTGGTCACCCTAACTGGTGAGGCAATGAAACTGGGAACCAAGGGGGAAGGAATGCAGACAGATTGAACCTGGAGTCAGCAGAGAAGAGTGGGACTGGGAGTGAGAGTGGGTTGGGGGAAGACTGAGATCAGATGTGATGCCTAGTGTGGAAGATGAACTGGCTGAGCAAGAAGACTGAGGCAAGGAGACAGGGATTTAGAAGCGGGGTGGGGGGGATGACTGTGATTTCGATGAGGAGAGCAGAGTAGGGGACTAGGTCTAGCTGGCCAAGGAACTATGATGAGGTGACTGAGGGATGGAGACAGGGACTGGCTAGGCAAGGAGACAGTCATGGGAATGAGGTGGCAGCACTCAGACAAGTTCCTGGGGAGGAAATAGATGCAATCTTAATGTTCTTTTAATGTGTGTGTGTGTGAGAGAGATATAAAATAACCCAAGGATGTTTGGCTGTCTCTTTTGTGGTTTTTTTTTTTTTTTTTTGCCTCCAGTATGTTGCTGACACAATGACCAGAAAAACAGAAGTCTCTGCAGTGACCATTAACTTGTTTTACTATACTTTGAATATAGTGACAAGTGTCTTTAGACACAAGCCCTGGAGTCCCTCCCAGAGTCAGGAGTCTTAACACCCAGTCACCTGTTCTGTCCATTAGACTCCATTGCCTTTTAAAGGTTTAAGGTGTTTAAAAGTGACTGGAGAAGAAAGAGCTGATCGAGAGGAATCTCTAGTACATAAAAACCCTTGAATTAAAAAAAATCTCATCAGTTAATATATGAATAAACAGTTACTAACACCCCAGTTTTATGTGATTTGTAGAACCTGATTAAGCTAAAATTTAGAAGTGTAAGGAGGCTTAACCTACCCTAACATATTTTTGAAAAGTGCCTCTAGTGACACATTAACAAATTTAGCTTTTGTGTGTGAATTTCATGTTATCGGTGGAAATATATTTTAACAAACATGCCAATTTACTGTTAGCACAACCACCTGTTTATTTAGTTAAGTTAACTCTGTCCTAGTGTATTCCATGAAGTAAATATATTCTCTGGGAACTGAAGGTGGAGACTGGAAATCACGATTCCTGCCCGTTACTTGGCTCTGCAGTTGACCTTGGGCAAGCCCGTTTCCCCAGTGGTCTGTACAAAGGGGATAATGATGGGATATTGTAAAAGGTTTTGACACCCTCAGATAAAAGCAGCTGCGGTCTCATTGTTACGGAGTTGCACAGCATTGTAGCGGGACCTCCTCGTCCTCTCACCTGCACATCGAGTCCGGCCTCAGGACTCGTCTCCCGGGGAAGCAGGAACAGGCCCGGCCACTTCCCTGCGGTGCAGGTGCCGGGCAGGGCCCGCTGATCCCTCCCCCCTCCCCTCGGCGGCGATCGCTCCGCCTCCCCCCGCCCCGCCGGAGTCAGTCAGTGGGAGGAAGATGGCGGCGCTCATTCCCCACAGCCAGCAGGTAACCGGCCTGGCCTGGCCTGGGCCAGAGGCCCCACTAATTGTGGTCGGGGTTGGACCCCGCCGGGGGAAAACCCGGGCCAGGGGGACAGGCCTCTGGGTGGCGGCCTGGAACCGGCGCATTAAACCGGCTTATGGGGGGAGAGCAGAAACTGGGTGTGGGAAGCTGGGCCCCATCCGGCGCTGGCGGGTCAGTGCTCGGAGGGGGGCAAGCCCCTAGCTCCCCTCAGCAGCCGGGGCAAGGTTGAGCATTTGGGGAGGGAGCCGGTCGCTGGGTTGCCGGGGGGTCTTGGAGCCCCTTTCCCAGCAGCAGGCTCTGAGGTGGAATCTCAGGGACGGAGGACGGACGCTCGCTTCCTCGTTGGGATGAAGATCGTTGATGTTCCCTTTTTTCCCACCCAAGCTGTAGGGCCTGGTATTGAGCCACTGTAGTGGAAGGGGCAGCATAATCTTGTGGTGAAGGCCCTGGACTAGGCCTCAGGACAGTTTGATTCAGTTCTCAGCTCTGTTGTAGACTCCTGGTGTAATCTTTCTTAAGTCAGTTCATTTCTCTCTGGATTGGTTTCCCCATTTGTAAAATGGAGCTAATACTGCCTAGTGCACAGGGATGTTGTGAAAAGTTTTTTTTTTAATCTTGGAGAGGTGCTTGCATACTGTTTTGATGGAAATGTGGGGGTCATAAATACAGTAGAACCTCTGAGTTATAAACTGACAGTCAACCACATGCTTCATTTGGAACTCGAAGTACAGAATCAGGCAGCAGTGGAGACACACACACAAAACCCCCCAGTTCTGTGTTAAATGTAAACTACTAAAAAAAAAAAGGGAAAGTAGCTTTTTTCTTCTGCATAGTAAAGCTTCAAAGCTATATTAAGTCAATGTTCAGTTGTAAACTTTTGAAAGAATAACCATAATGTTTTGTTCAGAGTTACCAGCAATCTCCATTCCTAAGATGTTCCATAACTGAGGTTCTACTTTATTGTAGTTGATGGAAGCTGATGACACACTATTGAAAGGCTCATTTCTTCTCACTCCTTATTAGCAAAGAGTGAGTGAGGGGAGTGGGATACTCAGGATTCTGCAGTGGAGAGAAAGACCCTGAGCCCTTTTGAAAGGCAGGGTTGTGTTACAGGGTATAATTTAACAATTTGGACACATTTTATTTTTAACTCTTGTCATTATCATAGGAATGTATAGCCAGAAGGGACCTCTAGAAGTCATCAAGTACAACCCCCTGCGCTGTGGCAGGACCAACTAAACCTAGACAATCCCTGACACATGTTTATCCAACCTGTTTTTAAAAAAACTTGCAATGATGGGAATTCCACAAACTCCCATGGAAGTCTATTCCAGAGCTTAACTCCCTTATTGGGAAAACCTTTCTAACTATAATCTAACTAAAATCTCCCTTGCTGCAAATGAAGCCCATTACTTTTGTCCCTACCTCTGGTGGACATAGGGAACAGTTGATCACCATCCTCTTTATAATAGCCCTGAACATATTTGAAACCGATCTGGTTTCCTTCTCTTTCCCCCTCCCCCCCTTCTTTTCTAAAGACTAACCATGCCCAATTTTTTGTTTTTTAAAAACCTTTCCTCATAGGACAGGTTCTCAGCCTTTTATAATTGTTGCTTTCTCCTCTGTACTCGCTCAGTTTTGTTCATGTCTATTCTAAGGGTACGTCTATACTTACCTCCGGGTCTGGCAGTAAGCAGTCGATTTTCTGGGATCGATCCCGGAAGTGCTCGACGCCGGTACTCCTGCTCCGCGAGAGGAGTACGCGGAGTCGACGGGGGAGCCTGCCTGCCGTGTGTGGACCTGCGGTAAGTTCGAACTAAGATAGTTCGACTTCAGCTATGTGAATAACGTAGCTGAAGTTGCGTATCTTAGTTCGAAGTGGGGGGTTAGTGTGGACCAGCCCATAGGTGCAGTACCTAGAATTGGACACAGTACTCCACTGAGGCCCAATAGAGGGGACAGTTGTCTCTCAGGTCTTACATGACACTCCTGTAAATACATCCAAGAATAGTTATCCTTTTTTGAAACTGCATCACATGGTTGATTCATATTCTGTTTGTGATCCACTAAAACTCCAGATCCTCACCCATGCTCCTGGAGTTCTCAAAGATAACTGGTAACAGTTCCAATACTGTATCAGCTGGTTTCTTAAGTATCCTAGGATGAATTTCATCAGGCCCTGCTGACTTGAGTACATCACACTTATCTAAATATTCTTTAACCTGTTGTTTCCCTAATTTGGATTGCATTCCTTCTCCCTTATTGTTAATATTAATTGTGTTGAGTATCTGGTCACCATTAGCTTTTTTAATAAAGACAAAAGCTAAATAGACATTAAACACCTCAGCTTATTGTTGTCATCATTTTTAACTTATTAGTGCAAAATAGAGAACCTGTGCTTTGATTCATCTTTCTCTTGTTCCTTATGTATTTAAAGAATCCTCTTCTGACTGCCTTTTATGTCCCTTGCTACATGTAACTCATTTTGTGCCTTAGCCTTTCTAATTTTGTTCCTACATGCTTGTGCTGTTCCTTTGTACTCTTCCTTAGTAATTTGTCCATGTTTCAACTTTATGTAGGATTCCTTTTTGATTGTCAGATCATTAAAGTGCTCCTGAGAGCCATATTGGCCACTCACTAGTCTTCCTATCTTTCCTTTGCCTCAGACTAGTTTGCAGTTATGCCTTTAATATTTTCTCCTTGAGAAACTGCCAGCCATCCTGAATCCCTCTCCCTCCCCCCCCCGACCTTACCTACCAGTTCTCTGAGTTTGTTAAAGTGGGAGGAGTTTTTTTAAGTTCCATGACCTTATTCCACTGCTCTCACTCCTTCCTTTCCTTAGAATCCTGAAGTCTATTTTATGATCACTTTCACCCAAATTGCCTTTCACCTTCAGATTTTCTACCAATTTCTCCATGTTGGTCAAAATCAAGTCTAAAAGGGCTGTCCCCTGGTTACTTCCACCTCTTTCTGGAACAAAAATGTGTCCCCAATACATTCCAACAACTGTATTACTTTTCTAACAGATGTCTGGGTAAAGGCCCCCATTACTTCCCAGTCTTGTGCTTTGGATATTGGTTTGTTTTATAAATGCCTCATCCACCTCCTCTTGTTGATTTGATGGTCTGTAGTAGACCCCTACCATGACACTTGCCATTATATGCTTACCTAAAATCTTGAATAATGGCAGCAATACTTGGTGCTTACATAGTCCTTTACCTCTGCAAAGTGCTTTGCAGACATTATCTAACTGATTTCCTATGAGGGGATAAATCTACCCAATGTCTTTAAAGTGAAACCCTGTCTTCACCACTTGCAATAGATCAGTCATGTATTTAGAAAGACAACTGTCAATCTTCCAAGTGTATTTGAATATTTATAGGCAAATCTGATCTAGATTTCAAATGAGGAAGGCACTAGATATTACTAATGACATTACGCATTCCTGGTATTTGTCAGCAAGAAGGTTTACAGTTAAGTGGGGAGCTCCAGAACCCAAATAAGTAACTAATAAAATGTTTCCACTTTATAGTAGCTATATATTTATTAAGTCTCTTTTCCCCCAAGTCCCAAGCTCAGGGTTCTATCTTGTCTTGCAGTTTGTGGGACTTCACTTGGATACATAGACCCATGCTGTCTTTGCAACATAAGACCCTCTGGCTTCACATACATTTTAGAAAATATTAAAAGCTTTCTATTTCACTTTTAAATTTCACCCCTGAAATGCATGTTCTCTTGTATAGAGCTTTAAAAGCTCAAGCAACTTGCTGAATTGGGTTTCTGATATAAAGTCAAGTAACTCCTTGCTCTCTTGAAGTCTTTGACAAGTTGTGTGTAATGATCATTGTGGGAGAAACAGATCTAGTTACCTGGATGAATCTGTTCAGAAGTCAGACTTTTGCAAAATAGTTATTGTTTTTACTCAACTTACTGTGCCATAGAAACTTAATGTTCCATGTACTGACCATGAGTAATAAATTTTAAAAAACCCACCATATTTTGCACTGCTTTTAAGAATGCCAGAGTGAAACTCCGGTGGACTTGTCTTCAAAAAGTAGGTATCGGCATGCTCAGAATAATTACTTTAGACACATTTTAGCGCTCTGAAGAAATAAGATGGGTCTTTTTAAAAAGAAAAAGCTTTGTCACACTCTGAGGAGTTATGTTTCCACAGTGTTTGATATAATTTGTTATACAACACAATTTGCCAAGTGCCTCATTATGGGAGAGTGTTGCTTTCTAGCCCTTTTTTGGGCACAGATCAGAGCCTTGATTGGCCCCAAATACGTTTTTCACTGTTGCTAATTTGTATTCTTGCTAAGTTTCTAGCAAAGAAAGAATTCCAAAGTTGGCTGTGGTTGCAACGAGGCTGTAGTCACACATACCCCCGATGGATAAAACGGAATTTTTAAGTGAAAGATGGCAAGCATTCTGTCTTTTATTTATTAATTCTAAACAAAATATACAAAGGAAGCAAAGGACTGTCCTTGGGGATGCACTTTGCTTTCATGATTTTGCTTAAACTTTAGGGTAGAATTTTTTTAAATAATTACCCTAATTTTATGATAGAAAGCATTTCTGATCTGATAAACAGTATGGCTGACAAGCATCTAAAAGAAAACCCACAAGTGTATAAATATCATACTAGATGTTTTCATGATATATACGGATATTTACAATTTAAATTTGTGATTAGACTCTGGCCTTTCGTATCAAGCTACCATTTGTGATATCTTAGACTTCAGAGGGGAACATTTTTTCTTTCATAGAACTTGGTAGTTGGTAGTTATAGTGCTTGCTACAGACTCAACTAATAAAGTAGGTAAAACAGTTTTACAGTGGATTGATAAAATGTACCCCATATGGCAAGTCTCAGATATTTACCATACTAGAAATCCTGCTTTTATATGGTTAGTTGCACATGTCTCCTTTGATGTTTAGGAGATTGTTGTTCCAAGTTCTTTTGGTATTATCTATTTTTATGCAATTTGTATGTGCTGTGGACAGGATGTTGTTCTTTCTTTCAACATTGATACATTTTCTAAATAATTAGTTAGCAGTGTTGTGTAGTTTCCTTGGGAAAGATTTTTTGCCTATACAGAACTGTCAGAGAGAGTGTGTAAAAACCCACCAAAATGGAATACAATAGAATGGGGGGGAAAAACAGATGTAATATAATTTAAGTATCTTTACATGGAGGCATCCAGAATAAGACTGGACATAAGTGATTGTAAATATTTAAATAATGACTCAAATGGGCTGTATTATTTTTGTTTATACAGAATGCAAAAATGTGAGGTGCTTGTAATATATCAGTAATGTTCCCAGTAAATGAAGGTTTGTTACATTGTACCTTCTGTTTTATACAGTCTAAGGTTCCAGTTCTGCAAATCAACATGTGCTTAATTTTAAGCATGTGAATAATTGCATTAATTTTAAATCAGCAGGACTTGTTTGTGTTTAAAGTTAAGCACGTCCATGAGTATTCATAGGATCAGGGCCTAAAAGCATGCATATAAAATCAAATCTCAATGCTATATCAAAACAGGAAGTGGTGGTGATACCCTTTGATAAATTTAATTATGTATATTTTACCTCACCAGTGCTCTGCCAGCTATTTCATCTCCCCTGGGATTTCTACTAGCTTGCCAAAGATAAAAATCAACATGACACAGACCATTTCCATCTTTCCCCAAATATGCACAGACACCCCCAAAAATGGTCAAAGTGAAAGATGAGCAATATTCAGTTGTGTACCAATCAGAACTCACACAGGGAACCGGGTATTATTGGAAAGCCAGGATTCTTCCCTTCCTAGTGGCACATCAAGCACATGCTTCTAATTCTGTTAAGACACAAGACGTATGTGCACATGCACACGCCCAGTCACGTAAATATTATAGGTGGAGCTTTCAGCTCCACCTATACTTCAGGTTGCCTGACATTTCCCCTTGTAAGACCCTGTTTTCAGTTGCCTATATCTTTGCCAATTTTTAACTATTTGGCTTAGAAATTCCCAAGTCAAGTATCTGTCTCAGCCTTCATATTTTAATAAAGTTTTAACAAAAACGGTCCAGCCATTTCTGAGGAAAATATTGGGGTGGGGGGGATGAGATGTCATTTTGCCCATGATTATATTAAAAAAAACAAACCCCACAATCTTAACTGTTTTCTTGAGAAGCTGTAGTGCTAGTGTGCCTCTGTGTTTTAGAGCAGGAACTTGCTCTGGTGAAATGTTGGTGTTGTGGTGAAAACTTGTCTACAAATGTCACTGGACAGGCTGTTTGGAGAAAGCAGATATAGTTTAAAGAGAAAAGGCACAACACACCGTAGATCTGATTTGAATGATAGCATTTTAAACATTGCATAATTTAAGTGTGTGTGAATTTCTCTACATAAATTGCTATTTTAAAATTTTGCATGCATTGAGTGTTTTCATTTTTAAATGGTTAATGTACCCAGGGGCTGGGGCTGTTTTGCTCCAGACGCAATTTTCCCTCAGTTTCTATATTGTGCTCTATTCATTGTAACCTCTACAAACTTCGGCCCAAATAAAAAGTTCCATCTCTTGTGTGTGAGGCTGTGAAACAGGCATTTTTATTGTTTTGATCTATTCAGCCAGAAGTCTGGGAAACTAGACAATTATTCCCCAGTTATTTGACTGTAACGGGGTCACACTCACCTCTCGTGAGCACCCCTTGGCCGAGTGCACATGCCTGCACTCTCTCTATTTGTGGTGGTCTTCGGTGATTCAGCCCTCCAGCCAAGTCATACACAGTCTGTCTGAGAGAGAGAAAAGCAACGCAAACCCCTTTCAGGGTACAAGTCCAGCAGCAGCCTCTCTCAGAGCCTTCTTTGATGTCTCTGTTTGTCCTTGCTCCGGAATAGAGCAGTGCCCCAGGGCTTCTTCCCTGGAGGCAGTGTCTTCACCCTCTCAGGGTCTTTCTGGCCCCAGCTCTTCAGCTGGGCCACTATAGTTCCCCTTCTGGGGTGCCTCAAAGTCCAGGCTACTTGCCGGGGGGGGAAGGGGGGAGGAGAGACACAACACCAGCCTCTACTCCAGGTCCCAGCTCAGGGATTCTATAGATAGCAGCCATTCACAATGTCCCTTTAAATAGACTGGGTTATTGCTATAATTCCCTGGGCTACTTTCCCATGGTTTCCACACATTCTTCATCCTTATCTCAGGGCCTTGGCCTTGTGGAATCCTAGCAGCCAACCTGGAGCACCTTCCACTCTCCTCCAGCTCTAACAGGAAACTGAACTCACTCTGTTCCTGCAGCTCTTCTTATACTAACCTGGTTGGCCCTGATTGGCTACTTCCCACACAGCCGCTCTAGACCTCTCTACTGCCCTTTTCTGGGGCAGGGTGTGGCAGGCCCATAAGGTCTCGTCCACCCCATCACAATGACTTTAAGTGTTGGGAAGGCTATGGAGGGGGAGAAGCTATACACAGTTTAATACTGTTTATTGCTTTTGAATAACAACGTTAATGTTAAAAAAAATCTAAACTCTCAAGTCACTGGTGTTACAGTTCTCATAGTAATGTTAATTTGGTTACATTGCATATATTTATCCTAAACTTATGTTTCTGTACCCCAATCGTGCAAAATGGGTCCATGCAGGAAGACTTCTGTAACTCAGGATCAGGGTTAAATATGAATATTAAACTTTATTGTTGAGAGCATTCTGTAAGCATGTATGTGTCCAATTAACAATACAGCCAGAACCCTAATTTTTAGATTCAGAACTTTAAGGTGTTAAATTTGTAACAATATCATAATATATGTTTTTGTATTTTAAATGTGTAATATTAGTGATTACAGAAATAATAATTTGAATTAATTTGTTTCATATCAGGATGTCCTTTTTTGGCATTCCCTGGAAGTGGAATATATTTGATCATGGTCCATTCTTGCTTTTCTCATTTTTTTTTATCCCACCCACCAACCCTTTTTGTCTTTTAGCTTTCCACTGGGAATCCATTGTATGAGACTTATTACAAACAGGTATGTTTTTAATAATTTTTTTAATTGTTTTTCCCCTTTCTAAGTCTAGTTTCTTGTAGTGTTCCCTCTGTTGTGTGGTAACTGTGTACTAATATTGCTCTATTATTGGGTGGTTAAGGGACAGGAGAATCTCCAATCTCTACTTTTGCTTTTGTAGCCGACATACTTAAGTCAGTTAATTTTTGTTTTCCAGGTAGATCCAACATACACAGGGAGAGTTGGGGCTAGTGAAGCTGCACTGTTCCTTAAAAAATCAGGTCTTCCAGACATTATCCTTGGAAAAGTAAGTTAAGTATGTGTGCGTTTATATGGGGACACACATTATACAGTATTCTGTGCATTATGATCACAGCTGGTATTGAGTGAATGTGGATGTGGTTTGCTAGAGAGCGTGTGCAATACAGTGCACCTCTGATTTTTCTGAACTCCAGATTACCTGTAGATTGGTTGTTACTCCCTTGGTTGCACTGACTAAAGCTCTGCTCCTGTGGATATTTTAAGTTTATAACACACAAGAAAAAACAGTTCAGTAAAAGGAAGATGATGGGATAGTTAATAATAAGGTCATATAAAGAATTGCTTGAAGAGGGAGCACCTTGTCAATGAGACTGTTCTATGCTCATGAGACAGCATCTTAGAAGGCACAAAGGTAAGAGTGGGAAGAGGAGACAAAGTGAGTAAGCAGTCAGACAAGATGACTGAGAAGAGTGTAGGTAGCAGTAAGGGGAACTGGGAGCAAAGATATTGAGATATATGGATGAGGAAAAGGAAACTGAAAATGAAGGGAAGAGACAGGAATCCACCAATGGAGGGATCCAAAGAGGGGGAGATGTGGAGGAGGAAAATGTGGACAGACAGGGGCTGGGAGAGGTGTGATTCTGTGAGGCCAGACGAGATTGTTACAGTAATCAAGGTGGGAGATGGCCAGGGTTTGGATAAAAGTTTTAATGGTGGAGGCTTTGAAGAAAGTGTAGATTCTGAAGATCTGTAAAAGAGAAGTAACCAGTTAATCACATCATTTATTGGACTGCTGGAAGGTGCTTAGATACCGTGGTGATAAGGGTGATATAAGAACCTATTGAGAAAGAAAGAGACTAGCTGTGATGAGAAATGAGTTAAAGATGACATTGATTAGAGATTACACAATAAGGTGAGTAGATTTTAAATTACTAATTTTAAAACAAAATATTAGAAAATCTGTTCCTCCTTCACTTACCTGCTGGGTCATGAGTTCAAGATTATTGGGAGGGAGTGGGGGCTCCTCTCTACAACTACAGGCTAGGGAGTGCAGGAAAATGCTAGATCACTGTTCTGTGTATGTTGGTTGTGATGTGATCTCTAATGCAAGAGAAATTCAGATTGTAGGATGTAAGGGCCTGATCCAAAGGTCATTAAAGGTAATGGACAGACTCCCATTGACTTCAATGGAGTTTGCATCTGGTTTTGTGTGAAGAAGGATTTGATTTTAAAATAAAGAGCACTTTATTTTTTACATATACTTTAACAATTTGAGGTTTAAAATTTTTAAAGCAAATTTTGCAGTTCAAATTTTGAAATATAAAACAAACAATTCAAGTACTAATGTTTTCTATTTGAGCTTTCCAATATACATGTATTTTTGTAAGTAATTTTATAATTATTTTTATTTCCACAGATATGGGATTTGGCTGACCCAGAGGGTAAAGGGTACTTGGATAAACAGGTATATAAAATGTGCAGTGAACATGAACATAAATCTATCATATAACCCTGCACACTTTGGCCTTGATTCAGGATAGTACTTAAGTTCCATTGACGTTACGCATGTGCTTACATGCTTTACTGCCTTTTTCAGTGCTCTTCATACCCCAATATGTCCTATTCTAAACTAATTTAATTAAAATGATTTAATATGGATAATCTGGAGATATTCCCATTAGTTAGTTGTTATATTTTTCTGTCATTTGAAAAAATAAATGCACGTGTGACAGGCCACAGTCCTCTTCTACTGTCTTCTCATTCAAATGGCTCTAATACCTCCAGCTTGTAAGCACCAACATGTAGTTTATTTGGGTTTATCTCAACAACCACCCATTTACAGTCTCATGCAGCAGCTCTGTTTACAGTGATATACTAACATCATCCACACAGAGATCTCCCTTTACCCTGGCCCTGCCTATCTTCTCCCACCCTTTCTCTTTCTCTCATTTCCTCCTTACACTTCTTTCCTGTGCCTTTCTACTCTTCCAGTTAGTGAATAACTAACTCCTTAGCTCTCTGAGCTCAGACCAGGGCCGCCCAGAGGATTCAGGGGGCCTGGGGCAAAGCAATTTTGGGGGCCCCTTACATAAAAAAAAGTTGCAATACTGTAGAATACTATATTCTCGTGGGAGCCCCTGTGGGGCCCAGGGCCTGGGGCAAATTGCTCCACTTGCCCCCCCCCCTCCCCCCCCCGGCAGCCCTGGCTCAGACTGATCTAGTAATTAGCCCCTGCTTCCCTCAATCAGGCCCTTCACTGGGAAAAACAAATTGGACTTACAGTGACTAGAGTGCTGGTTCGGCTGCTGATTCTCAGCACTGTGTCGCAACTTGTTAAAAATACTCTAGGTATTTGTGGTTAACAAAAATTATGAAAATAAACTAATCAAATACTGTAGCAAATATGGGCATTTGACAATATTTTGATATGCTTAAAGTCCAAGAAATTTTAAAAAAATTGAAGGTGAACTTCCAAATATTAAGAAAACATTTTAAAGATTATTTAATATCACAAATCACCAACAGACCATTTAAGCTTAAATTACAAATACATACATTAAAATATATTTAGAAAGCAATTTCTCTTTCGCTTACTTGCCAGATCTTGAGTTCAGGATTGTGTGTTTCCATTGCAAAGGCAGAACAGGGAATGCAACTATGCTGGCAGCTCCTGTGGGTGTTTGTAATGGCATCAGTTTTTGGAAGAGAATTACAAAACCTGAACTCAGGATTTGGCAAATAAATGAATGAAGAACGACGTTTCAAATTTTGTTTTAAAATGTAATGGCTAAGTCTACCCATATATTGTTGTTAATGATTTGGGATATTAAATAGCTTTTGCAGGTTGTGGGGTTTGGGTTTGTTAAAACTTAGTTCATTTTTAAGCAAAAGTGTTTGGCAACAATAGCTTAATTGTGGGAAAGCATTTTTTAGAATGTATACTATTGATTGGGTTTCTTTCCTTAAGCCAAAAAGGCTTACACAAAGTTGTTGCAAAGTCTTTTCTTTTCTTTTTCTTTTTCTTTAAAAAAACAGATGTAGAAATATATAATGATAGAAATAAATGGAAGGGGTGGGAGTGTGAGAGCAATTAATTTAGCATCTCCCCAAATGATTTAGTTGGGGATTGGTCCTGCTTTGAGCAGGGGGTTGGACTAGATGACCTCCTGAGGTCCCTTCCAACCTTGATATTCTATGAAATGTGGTTTCATCATTTAAGCAATGGTATCTGCATAGTATCATAAAAAACAAAATACAGTTTATCCTGCTTAAAAACAGTGACTTAGATTGCTTGTTTTTATTAACAGAATGCCCTGCATTTACTTGTTGTGTTTGAATTTGTAGGGTTTCTATGTTGCATTGCGACTCGTAGCATGTGCACAGAATGGCCATGATGTTAACTTGAGCAATCTAAACTTGACTATACCACCTCCTAAATTTGTAAGTGATATTTTAAGTTTAGAACTGAAGCTTAAAATGAAAAATGGGGAAATCTTTTCTACTTTACAAATTAGTCTCCTGATAGTTACAGGACATAGATTGTAAGCTCTTTGGGTCAGGGATTGTCTTTTTGTTCTGTGATTGTACAGCACCTAGCACAATGGGGTTCTGGTCAGTGACTAGGCCCTTAGGTGCTACAATAATACAAATAAATAATAATAATATGACATTTAAAGTTTTTTCTATTTGGATAAGATATGCAAGAGTTTGTTTTTCTTTTCAATATAACAAATGAAATACTTCATATCAATAGCCATCTGTAAAACATTTAAATATTAAAGAGAAAGCTACATGTGCATAAACATATTTACTGTTTTCATTTTAGCATGACACTAGCAGTCCCTTATTGATCACACCTCCTTCAACAGAGGCTCACTGGGCCGTTAGGGTAAGTGTACAAGACAATACATTTGAATCCATTCTTTAAATGTAAATTCTGTTTCTGGCAGCTGTGTTTGATAGATTAATTTTACCAAGAGAACATACTTCCCACTTTGGAACACCTTCCTTTATTGAAGCAGACATGTGAACGTTACATAGTACTGAATGTGGATTTTTATATATTTCTATATTTAATATAAGTATTGTAACAAGCCTCTGTCAGCATTTGGTATAATATTTGTAAGAAGCATTGTCCAGGACATGAGGGTTGTGCTCTAAGGTTTTTATCTTCTGCCTAGCTGCCAGAGCCAGAGCAGAAGGCACTTTGAGTTAATGTTTGATCTAAAGAACAATGAAGCACTTCACCAATCCCATCCCCAAGTATTAGTTTGGAACTTGAACCCACAACCTTCTAAGATCATGATTTCTTTCGTGCTTGCTGTATGGTCTAATGAAAACAGTAATTTTTGTTACATATCCTGTATTTTATAACTTAATTTTCTAATTTTATGTTATAAATGTAAAATAAAATTTCTGCTTGTGAAAAATTTAAATTATCAAATCATTTAAATGGAGGTTTCTAGTTTGTATATTATATTATAATGTAGGAAGCAAAATCTTTGGAAGTAACACTTCTTAGTAGTGTAAATGATCTCTGAAAGTTTCATAACTTAAAATCTGGGCACCAGTGTGTGAATCAAAATGCTTTGTCTTTCTAGAACACTAGAGAAATGCATATTGTAACCCCAGTCCTGTAATTTCCAGAAAGCTTGTTTTCATATTGAGAAAAATAAGGTCCTAAAGCCTGTTCCATGAGTTTTACATCTAAATACAGCACACTGTTTAGGATATAGCATACAGGTGTGCGCTGGGAAACTAGGAAGTTAAAATGATAAATTACTGACCAGTCACTTAGTTTCTTGCAAGATTTAATTTTCGACACTCACACAGGCACACTTTTTTACTTATTCAGGCTATTTCTTACCAACTAGGTGGAAGAAAAAGCAAAGTTTGATGGTATTTTTGAAAGCCTTTTGCCAGTAAACGGTTTACTTTCAGGAGACAAAGTAAAACCAGTACTGATGAACTCAAAGCTACCTCTTGATATCCTAGGAAGGGTAAGTGTGCGGCAAATTTTCCTAACCATTCTTTAATGTAACTTCTCTTTCTAGTGAAATTAAATATGTAATGTAACTAATCATAACAGCATTACTTTAAATGGAAGCAATAGTTCAGATCTAGGCCAAGATTTTTAAAAAATGGCTACCTAAAGTTACGCTCTCTAAATCATTATTTAGACACTTAAATAAGTAGTCCATTTAAAAGCAAAACAACAAAAAAACTTGTCCCTAGGCTGGATCAGCTTAATTTGTCTTGTATTCTTTTAAGAACAAGAACTTTAGTTTAAAAATGACTAAATTGAAAAACAAGTCAGTTTAAAAGGAAATGAATGCCTCTTGGTTAGAAAAGCTGTCCTGACCTAAGCAATAATGCCTTTTAGGGCATTATATTCTACTAGCTTTTTTTTTCCTAACTAGGAGTTATTAAACCAACTTTAAATATAAACTCCAACAATCATGCATGTACTCTGGAACAGGTTGTTCTGTGAAAGCATCAGTAAACCAGGGGTTTTAAATAGTGTTGCATTGTACTTTTGTTACACATTCTGTATTGTTTTTGAGCAATAGCTTTGAACTTCTGGGGCTCCCCTCATAAATATGTAATACATGCAGTAAATATCCTTAAACAGTTTTTCTTTTCTTTTTTTTTAAACCATATTCTTGACTATATACACCCTTCTGTGTGTTCTGTGCCAGGGCCAAGTTTGGGTTCCAACTAGTTCAACATGAGCCCTCTCTCTCCTGAAATAAGCTTTCATTCTGACCATGAAAGACCACTTCCTTCTTTGCCTTGATGTGAATGAAAAGTAATTGTTTAATCTTGCACTTGAACATTATGCTGCACTTGGTGTTAAAAGGCTTCAGACTCTGTATTATTATTTCTGTTTTGGTGATGTCTAGGGTCTATATACATGAAACAGTCCTGCCCCAGATAGCTTACAGTTTAAATAGACAAGACAGATAAAGTGCGGGAAAGGAAACAGCCACAAGAAGATAAGAAATTTTGCTTAAAGTCACACAGCAATCTATGCCAGAGCTAGGAAATAGAGCCCACGACTCCTGTGTCGCCATCCTGTCTCCTATCCACTGTACCACTCAGCCCCTCCATCATAATCCTATTAGTTATGATAACATCGGCTGCAGTATAAGTGCTAGAGCAGATGAGACTTTGTATCCCTTTACGTCTCTTGTCAGCCCTAAACATATGCTTCTGTGTATATTACCATAACTAATAAGATCTTCAGAAAATGCACCTCAAATTTCTAGAGGGCATTAACATTCTTAATACAATTAATATTTTCTAACCTACTTATTAACTTATATTCTAACTAATATAATTTGTTGTAACGTGTTCTTCAACTTTAATTTTTGCCTAAATACTGTAGGTCTGGGATCTCAGTGATATTGACAAAGATGGACACCTGGACAAGGATGAATTTGCTGTGGTAGGTTTTAAATTCTGAATTCATTAAAAGTTTGACAAAGCAATGTGTAGGTATTATTGCTTCCTTGAACTTAGTCTTGAGCATTGCAAACTCCTCCTTTCTGGCCACTCATTATCCACACTGCGCCCTACTCCAGATCATTCAAATTACAGCCACTAAAATGGTCTTCCTTGAAACCCTCCTCTGGCCCTCTCTTGCCCAGAGTATCAAGTTTAAACATTTTGTCCTGCATTCAAAGTCGTGTACAGCTCTGACCTGTATCTCTGATCTTGTCTCTTATCATGTTTACTTCCTTCTCCCTAGTATTTTGGACACTTACCATTGGAAACTTTTTGTTGTGTGTTCCTCTCTTCATTGGTGTATTACAGATATTTTTAACTTTTGCCTTTGCAGGCAATGCATTTGGTATATAGAGCTCTTGAAAAGGAGCCAGTTCCCTCAGTATTACCCCCCCCACTTATACCACCTTCCAAAAGAAAGAAGACGCCAGTTTTTCCTGGTGCAGTTCCTGTTCTTCCTGCAAGTCCTCCACCTAAAGATAGCCTTCGTTCTACCCCATCCCATGGTAGTGTAAACAGCCTGAATAGCACAGGAAGTTTGTCACCCAAACACAGCATCAAGCAAACACAGGTACAAGTCTCATGTTAATTTTTATATCCTTTGCAATGAACTGTGCAAAATAGTGAAATGACTTTTTGCTGGATCACTTTTCTTCCCAAGGAAAGCACTTTTTTGAGAGAAAGTATTTTATGTTTTGAAAACAAATGATGTCACAGGATGTGGGGAGAGCTGAATGTTAAAGGGTGAATTCTCTTTTAGCACGAATCTTAGTGGCATGATCAGTAGCTTGGGCTCACAAGAGAGGGAGCTTGTCCCTGCATCAGCCCTAGCAGCAGTGTAGGGATGAATCCGCGCCCAGGACTCCAGTATGGATCTCCTGAGTTGCAGTGCAGAGCAATGTCAATAAGCACACCAGTCTGGGGTGTTAGTAAGTCTGTATATAAGTAGGAAGAATGTACCCAGTTTATGAACATTCTGTTTCTCAGTATTTGTGAGATGCTCACATACAGTATTAATCTTGATACATTACTGAAGGGAAGGAAAATGTCAGGGGACTGTTTATAGGCTTGATCCTACAATATGTTGTGCACCCCTCAATTTCTGTTGACGTTGAGGGTACTCAGCATTATGCACAGGTGAGCCCTCAGTGTATTAATAAAGGTTGTATTTGGTTTTGGCTAACGTAACAAAACCTTTTTGTTTTTCAGCCATCTGTGAATTGGGTGGTACCAATGACTGATAAGGTGCGATACGATGAAATTTTCTTAAAAACTGATATGGACATGGATGGCTATGTGAGCGGCCAAGAAGTGAAGGATATTTTTATACACTCAGGCCTGTCTCAGAATCTTCTAGCACATATATGGTAAGACTTCATCATTAGTTGTTTTGATTTTGCTTTGGTTTGATTTTTTTTTTTTTCAGCTAGTTGACTCGAGGAAATAGCATTTTTCATCCAGAAATGTGATACTAGCAATTCCCTTGTTGACTGCCACTGCTATTCTTCTTCATAGCTGTAGGGCTTCTTTTACCATACTATCTCAACAACATTGCATACATTTATAAGTAAGGATAAATTCTCTCAAGGAGAACAACCAAATCAATGTTCTTCCCTTCCTCTCATGTTCAGATTAAAGCTGTTTATTTGATGGGGTAACAAGCCTTATGGATGGGGGAATCAGATGTGATATATCTTGACTTTAGTAAGGCTTTTGATACTATCTCACATAACCTTCTCATAAACAAACTAGAGAAATGTAGCTTGGATGAACCTACTATAAGGTGGGTGCACAAGTGGCTGGAAAACCATACTCTGAGTAGTTATCAATGGTTCACAATCAAGCTGGAAGGGCATATTGAGTAGGGTCCCAGAGGGATCTGTCCTGTGTCCAGTTCTATTCATTCTCTTCATAAAGGATTTGGATAATGGCAAAGAGAGTACACTTGTTAAATTTGTGAACAATACCAAGCTGGGATGGGGTTCCAGATGCTTTGGAAGACAGGATTAGAATTAAAAATGATTTTAACAAACTGGATAAATGGTCTGAATTAAATAGGATGAATTCAGTAAGGAGAAATGGAAACTACTACACTTAGGAAGGAATAATCAACTGCACAAATACAAAATGGGAAATGACTGGCTGGGAAGGAGTACTGTAGAAAAAGATGTGGGGTTATAGTGGGTCACAAACTAATATGAGTCAACAATGAAATACTGGTGCAAAAAAGAGCAAAAGTCATTCTGAGATGTATTAGGAGTGTTATAAGCAAGACATGAGAAGTAATTCTTCCACGCTACTTAGCATTGATAAGGGATCAACTGGAGTATTGTGTCCAGTTCTGAAAACCACACTTTGGGAAGGATGTGGACAGATTGGAGAAAGTCCAGAGGAGAGCAACAAAAATTATTAAAGGTTTAGAAAACATGATGTACAAGAAAAGATTGAAAAAATTGGGTTTGTTTAGTCTGGAAAAGAGAAGATTGAGGGAAGGACATAACAGTCTTCACGTATAAAAGGTTGTTATAAGAGGAGGGTGATAAATTGTTCTTAACCACGGAGGACAGGACAAGAAGCAATGAGCTTAAATTGCAGCAAAAGAGATTTAGGTTAGACATTAGGAAAAACTTCCTAACTGTAAAGTAGTTAAGCGCTTGAGCAAATTATCCAGGGAGTTATGAACTCTCTGTTATTGGAGGTTTTTAAGAACTGGTTAGACAAACACCCTGAGGGATAGCTCAGTGGTTTGAGCATTGGCCTGCTAAACCCAGGGTTGTGAGTTCAATCGTTGAGGGGGCCATTTAGGGATCTGGGGAAAAACAATCTGTCAGGGACAGTACTTGGTCCTGCTGTGAAGGCAGGGGACTGGACTAGATGACCTTTCAAGGTCCCTTCCAATTCTACATTTCAATGATACTATGATTCTACTTGGAAGGCATTGGAGAGATCTATGAAACTTTGAAAACATACCCCTCCTTATCATGTCTCTGTAATAGTGGCATAACTTGCAATCAGTACTCATATTATATAGACTATTCCATGAATGGGAAACATTTTAGCAGTCCTATCACTCAACTGGCTAAAAAGTCAAAGGCATTTTTCCAAGAAAACGATGATGTTTCATTCAGTTAAGTTCATCTAATAAAACATTCATAGCTCAGCATGTAGAACTTTTCCAGTGAGGAAATGGGCTCTGATGAGGCCAAAACAACAATAAAATTATATGTATTTGTATCTCAGATTTCATTGTAATAATAATAGTTGTTTGGTTTATAACACATTTTGACTTACAATAAGAATAACCAATTTCTAACAGGGCATTGGCAGACACAAGACAGATGGGAAAGCTAAGCAAAGATCAGTTTGCACTAGCCATGTATTTCATTCAACAGAAGGTCAGTAAAGGGATTGATCCTCCGCAGGTGTTGTCCCCAGATATGATCCCTCCTGCAGAGAGGAATACTCCCATACAAGTAAGTAATTGGTTATTAATAAATATATTGCTCTACTGGACCAATATGTGATTTGAAAGTAACTAGCTTTGAGAGCTGTTAATTTTTTATTTATATTTTGTACCCATTGAATTGTTGAATCTTTAACTTACAAGAATGTTTGTCTATCTTCTGTTTATAACTGAGTTTCAGATTTCAAAAAATGCTTCATGAATTGGTTATAAATTGCAAAAAATCATATTAAATGAGTTGTCCGTTACCTTGGTAGCTTTCAAAAATATGAGACCAGTTTCACAATTACCGGAGGGAATCCTACCTTGTGCCTGGAAAAATTCCAGTTTAAATTTTTTATTAAAAAATATATCTTTCATCACAAAAGTGGTGGTGATATTTTGTCTTATTTATCAATCATTCTCACGTTAAAGAAAAACTTTTCCAGCATGATGATGATAGGTTAGACTAGAACTCTGCCATACTTAGCAAGTTCAGGTGAGTGAATGGGAGTTGCTCTTAGTAAAGTATCTCTCTCCCTTTCTCTCTTAACCTTATTTCCAAGCTTACACTTTTCATTCACTGTTGTTGCCATTGATCCTTGTACTATTAGATAGATAATGAGTAATATTTTCAAACGTGACTTAGGTGCTTAAGTGTAATTGAAACTTGAGACTTAAGCTGCTAAGTGCCCAAGTCACTTTTGGAAATAGGATGTAGGTCCCTAAATCACTTAGGTGCTTTTAAAATTTTTAGTGTTTGACTTCTGTGTCAGCTATATCTTCTACAAACAGATGATTAACTGTTATGAACTGGACAATGTTCTTATTTAAGTAATTTAATATTTTTGTTTACTTCAGAAAACATTTTAGGATTTCTGGCCTTTCTTTGATAAACTTTGAAGACTCTGATAAACCGGGTAACAAGAAGGAAGAAGGGGAGAGGGAGTGGGAGCAGGAGCAAAATGAAATACACAGTCAAGCAAGTAGACAAGGGCAAAGGTTCTTCTGTCAGGACAGAGAGGAAAGAGTATATCTTGTAGACATTGTGGAGGAAGAAGTGGCATGATTTGGACACACCCTTCACTGCCCCAACACACCTTTACATACATACATACTCACACAAACATAATTCCACCCACCCACCCCCATACACACTACTCACTTTAAAAATAAAAAAAATATAAGCTTGCCCGAGGCCAAAAATATAGTGCTTCATGGAGGTGGTAGCTTGTTCAGTTAAAAAAACAAAACGTAGAGTCAACATTGCTTCTGGGAGTCCTACAGAAAATGGGAAATGAGAGAAGGACCCCAGAAGAGATCCTCCTACTTCTCTGGATCTTTCTTGGTGTATGAGGAGAGGTCAGCATCGCAGACGCTATAGGAGGACAAGATGTCAGGAAGATATGACTGACACACATCTCTAGGAAATCATTAATGAATGACTAGGCATCAAATAAACAGATAGTAGCTCACTTTTTTACATTATAGTACAGCTAAACAGAAGAGCTCTGAAATAGGGTATATTTTTCTGTCTGCATGCTCATCTTACATCATAATAGTTAAGATTTCTTTTTTAAATATTTATTTATTAGAAAACCTTTCCCTTTTTTAACTGGTTTGAATGAGATAGACTTCCTAATGAGTTGACCTGAAATGTAGGAAGTGGCTGTGCTGAGTGAGAGAGAAAGGGGAAAAACTCAGCAAATTTAGAAAAGAGGAGTGAATACTGAATCTGAAGGTCTTGTAGAGCTAATAATCTAAAAGTGAATTATAGCTCTGAATGAAGTCTGAGATTAAGAATTTTGCACAGATGCCACAAAGGAAGAAGTCCTACAAGATTAACAGAAAACTCATAGAAACAGCTGGGATGAAGAAACCAGAAAAATGTTAAGTCTTGTCTTAAGAAATTAGAAGATCACTAAAGAAAATAAGGGAAATTGAGAAGTTGACATTAGAAGCGATATGAAATAGATGGACCTGGCAAGACAATGAAAATTAACATAGGAATTGCCAAAGCAGATCAGATCAATGATTGAGTTAGTCTGGTGTCCTGTCTCTGACTGTGGCAGTACTAGATGCTTCCCTTGAAAGTATAAAATCCTCGTAATGGGGGAAATGACTTCCTAATTCCTGGCAATTAACGGTTTATTCCCTGAAGCATGAGGGTAACCCATATACCTTTTTAATATTAGTGTAATTAGCTGTATTAATAATACTCTACATTAGTCACATAAATGTCTAATTCTTTTCTAACTCCTACTATGCATTTTACCTCAATAGCTTGTAGCAGTGAGTTCTACAGGTGGTCAAAGCATTCATTGTGTGTTTCCGGGATTGTAGGGGGAGAATTTCCTTTTATCTATTTCAAATGTATTTCACCCTTCATCTATGGGCCTCCTTGACACTCACATTGCCCTTCTCCAATGCATACAATGCACTTGTCATATCACTTCTTATAATTTTGTCTCTAAATGAAATAGTCTTAATCTTTTCATTCTCTCCCCAAATGGAAATCTTTCCAGGCCTGTGACCATTTTTGTTGCCATTCTCTGAAGCTCTTCTATTTCTCCTATATCCTTTCTCTGTAGACTCTGTCAGGTTACTTGACCCCTGTAGGAACTGAGATCTCAGCGCTAACAGAAATGCGTCGTGTGAGTAATTGGAACACCCCAAAGAATGCAAATTTGTTTGTATAGTCCAGTTGTAACTTTGAGTTCTTTATTTCTGTGTCTTTCCCCATTTCTTCAGCACTAGTGTCCTATGACACCTAACAGTGTGGTGATGTCATTACAATGTGAGCCTGCCACTTCTGGCTGTTTAGCCGGTGGTACGAGCTCCTTCAACAATCTGAGATCCATTAATTTTTCAAGCACTTGTTTTGACAGGTAGCTCAATGTTGGCATATTAAATTACTAGGTCTGTAACTTACATTAAATTGCTGCCAATAAATATACCCTGGTGCAAGATCCTTAAACTTCCCACTCATTCTTTAATTCATTGCTTCATATTTTTGATTTACTATGTTTATAGTTAAATGTGGCATAAAAAAAGGCACCTTATCTGATGAAAAAAATGGCACCTTATCTGAGTGTAGTTTATTAACTTTTTGTTCATGTTGATTAGTGGGCTGTATTTGTCTAAGGCCTTGTCTACACTGCCACTTACAGCGCCGAAACTTTCTTCGCTCAAGGGTGTGAAAAAACACCCCGAGCGATGCAAGTTTCAGCGCAGTAAAGTGGCAGTGTAGATAATACTCCAGTGCTGGGAGCTATTCCCCTCTCAGAGGTGGTTTTATTACAGCGCTGGGAGAGCTCTCTCCCAGCACTGGAGCGCAACTACACAGCCACGTTAAAGCGCTGTCGCGCTGTGTAGACATACCCTAAGAGACTAACATGGCGGCTCATATTTTTAACTATATATTTGCAAGCAAGTTGGAAGGCATATTCTGTTTCTGGTGATTGTTTGTACTTATAAAATATGAGTAGTGTTAGAGAACAGGGAGCTGTTGTCTAGTAAATCTAAGAATTAGTATCTAGGTTTTCCTTATGCTTACCTGACCCCAACTAAACATACAAGCCAAAGGATCCCTCATCTTCCCAAAGTAGGGTCTTAAGATGTTAAATCATGTAAGTTGGGAACTCAGGTCCCCTATTCCTTCATTCTGAGTTGCTAGTTTCTGCTAAAAAAAACGCATATTTTGTGCTTAACAAGAAAAAAAGCCCATTTTTCTCATCATAATAGTAAGAAGCCTTTTGCAGTGTATTGTTTAAAAATATAGTTAAATACTGTAGATGTCCTGATTGTCAAACAGACAATGAAAGCTGAGAGGATTCGGTTTACAGTTCTCTCTCAAATACTGTCACTTTTCAGGGGAATAGAAATGCTGATTTTAATTACACTTAAGGCCAAATCTTGAGGTCCTTCCTCAGTGATCATTTAATGAGTATTTCCCTGCTTAAGAAGTGAAAGAGAACCTTTGAATCTGGCCCCTTAACTTCCAGTATACTCTGTGTTTGGTGATGAATGCCTGTCACTATAGCTTCTACAGGTTTCAGAGTGGGAACTGTGTTAGTCTGTATCAGCAAAAACAACCTTGTGCACCTTGTGGCACCTTAGAGACTAACAATTTTATTTGGGCATAAGCTTTTGTGGGCTAGAACCCACTTCATCAGATACATGGAGTGGAAAATACAGGAGCAGGTATAAATACATGAAAAGATGTGAGTTGTCTTACCAAGTATGAGGTCAGTCTAATTCAATTGACAGCAGGATACCAAAGGAGGAAAAATAACTTTTGAAGTGGTAATGAGAGTGGCCCATTTCAGACAGTTGACAAGAAGGTGTGAGTAACAGTAGGGGGAAATTTGTATTGGGGAAATCAGGTTTAGGTTTTGTAATGACCCAACCACTCCCAGTCTTTATTCAGGCCTAATGTGATGGTGTCCAGTTTGCAAATTAATTCCAGGTCTGCAGTTTCACGTTGGAGTCTGTTTTTGAAGTTTTTTTGTTGAAGAATTGCTACTTTTAGGTCTGTTATTGACTGACCAGGGAGATTGAAGTGTTCTCCTACTGGTTTTTGAATGTTATGATTCCTGATGTCAGATTTGTGTCCATTTATTCTTTTGTGTAGAGACTGTCCGGTTTGGCCAATGTACATGGCAGAGGGGCATTGCTGGCACATGATGGCATATATCACATTGGTAGATGTGCAGGTAAACGAGCCCCTGATGGTGTGGCTGATGTGGTTAGATCCTATGATGGTGTCCCTTGAATAGATATGTGGACAGAGTAGGCTCCGGGGTTTGTTGCAGGATTTGGTTCCTGGGTTGGTGTTTTTGTTGTTTGGTGTGTAGTTGCTGGTGAGTATTTGCTTCAGGTTGCGGGGGCGGGGGCTGTCTGTAAGCGAGGACTGTAGATCCTTGATGATGCGCTGGAGAGGTTTTAGTTGGGGACTGTAGGTGACGGCTAGTGGCATCTCCAGCGCATCATCAGGGATCTACAACCTATCCTGAAGGACGATCTCTCCCTCTCACAGACCTTGGGGAACAGGCCAGTCCTCACTTACAGACACCCCCCCCCCCAACCTGAAGCAAATACTCACCAGCAACTACACACCACACAACAAAAACACCAACCTAGGAACCAAACCCTGCAACAAACTCCGGTGCCTACCCTGTCCACATATCTGTTTAAGGGACACCATCATAGGAACTAATCACATCAGTCACACCATCAGGGGCTCGTTCACCTGCACATCTACCAATGTGATATATGCCATCATGTGCCAGCAATGCCCCTCTGCCATGTACATTGGCCAAGTGTAAAGTGAGGGGTGGATCCTGTGTCTTCAATCTTTGCCCAGAATACGTTCCTGTTCTTCATTTTGGCTTGCTTTATAATGGAATATTTTGATTTCTTACAGGATAGTTCAAGTTCTGTCGGATCAGGAGAATTTACAGGCGTGAAAGAACTCGATGATATTAGTCAAGAGATTGCACATCTGCAGAGGTAAATATAGTGTACTGTTAAAGTTAAGAATTCTGAACCTGTGAAATGGAGGATTTTCCTCACTAATGATGGCTCTTAACAAATTGCATAACAGTTTCTAACCGCTGTGCCCTCCAAAAAAGAGGAAACCTTTCTTAGTCTAGTTCATTAGGGAGCAGTACATTTATTGGTTCCATAGATTCTTGTTTTTTAAAAAAAGCGTGTGTGTGTTTATATGGTACGATCAAAAATAGGATCCCATCACCTTTTATATAGTTGAACCCAATTGTTCACTGTATTTTTTTATTTATAGCCAGAGTAGTTCATTCTGAAATGTCACTCTGAGGTAAGTAAAATAAATTTTGCACAAACTAAAACCTTCCTTTTCATTGAAATGGAACAGTTGAATCCTTGATTAGTAGAACAGTTTCAGTATTACTTCCCTTTGGTTACTGGTGATCATTACTTCCATTGGTCCTATATTGTCTCTTGAATGCTACAGTTCAGGAGCCTTATCTGGCTGTCTTTGAAGTTAATAATAACTCCCACTGATTACACTGAGATCAGGAGCAGTGCCTAGAAGGTTACTTGGAGCCTAGTGCATAAAATGAGAAGACTGATTGTGGGGCAAATCAGTCTTTAAATATGAAAAAGCATATTTCTTAATTACTTCTTGAAAGTATGACACAAATGTAGGATTGCTTTTCCATCTGTGCATTGTTTACAAAAGAACATTTAATTGACTTTTTGTAAAATATTGTCTTATTTTAATTGTATCAGTCATGTGAATGTTTTCCCTACAGAGAAAAGTATTCACTAGAGCAGGACATTAGAGAAAAGGAGGACTCAATTAGACAGAAAACCAATGAAGTTCAGGTAAAAACTCTGGATTATTATTAATGACATTTCTTTAAAATTCTACAGGAAGCACCATCCATGTTTTGAACAGTTTTTTGTTTTTTTTGTGTCCCCCCCCCCCCTACTTCCTTTATGAATTCATCTGGGTATATTTATTCTGGCACTGGGGGAATAACTTATAGCAATGATTTCATTTTTCTGTGCACTGTAGAAAATATTTTGTTTTGATGCTGGTTAGTGTAAAATGCAGATAGTATAGAATATAATAGAAAATGTTTCTCTTTGTTAATGCTTCATTAATACTGTTTAAATAACTTTGTGAAGGTATCCCATCTAAATTCTGAAATTCATGTTCTAAAAATCATTTACAATAGGCTTAGAATAGCTGAAATCCTTGTCTTCTGAGACTCTTCTCCCATCGCATGGACATTGATTTCTTATAGTAGATTACTCATGAGTGCTGAAGAGCTGGCAGGTTTTTTTTTGTTTTTTTTTTTTTTAATCTGTTTACAAAAAGCACTGAAACCTTTGAATGGGGGAAATTCTATAGGCAACACAGGCAGGTTGAATTTGGGGTTTGCCTACTTCAGTATGTCTCTTTAAGCTTAACCGCTTGTCACAAGACATCGGTTAAGTGTAGTCTATAATGTTGTGGAACTTTTTTCAGGAACTGCAAAATGATTTAGACAGAGAAACAAGTAACTTGCAAGAGCTGGAAGCTCAGAAACAAGATGCTCAAGACCGCCTAGATGAAATGGACCAGCAGAAAGCCAAACTGAAAGATATGCTAAATGATGTGAGGCAGAAATGCGAGGAAGAAACACAGATGGTGAGTGTGTGTTAATTCTGGAGGTGATCATGCATATTGCATCTTTTATTGGGGGGAAAAAACAGTTTATCAATATAGTAAATAACTCTTGTTTTGCCTGCTAATGTTGCTCTTAATCGCCTATACTATACAAATATACACAGGTGCAGAAAAGGGCTTTATTAACTTGAATAGCTTTTCTAACAGTCATGAATATTTATTGAGCACCATACAGTACGTGAAAAGCATGGTCCCTCTCCACAGGAGCTACCATCATTGGGCAGTGGTACAGGTAGTGGCAATGTTTATGAAAGATGATCACACCAGTGTTTCAGGAGAGAAATATGTTTTGAGGAGGGATACAGTAAAGAGAAGTTACTTTTTTGGTGCACGAAAGAGGTGTGTGGGGTTGAAGTTCCAACATAGGGGAGCAGCATGGAAGAAGGTACAAAAAGTTAAGAGAAGGAGAGAGGAAAATGGTTCAAAGGGAGGGATTAGGAGAAAGGGTAGGGTGGAGCAAAGGGAGGGGGAGTTGAAGGGAATGAGAGCTGCTAATTGAGTTCTTTGCATCAGTCTTCCCTGCAGAGGATGTAAGGGAGATTCCCACACCTGAACCATTCTTTTTAGGCGACCAATCTGAGGAACTGTCCCAGATTGAGGTGTCAGTAGAGGTGGCTTTGATTAAATTAAATTAATTAAATTGATAAATTAAACAGAAATAAGTTGCCAGGCCCAGATAGTATTCACTCAAGAGTGCTAAAGGAATTCAACCATGAAATTGCAGGACTACTAACTGTGGTATGTAACCTATTGCTTAAATCAGCTTCTGGACCAGATGACTGGAGGTAGTTAATGTACCGTCTATTTTTTAAAAAGGCTTCAGAGGCAATCCTGGCAGTTACAGGCTGGTAAGCCTAACTTCAGTACCAAGCAAATTGGTTGTAACTATAGTAAAAAACAGTATTCTCAGACAGGTAGATGAATGGAATATGTTGGAGAAGAGTCATGCCTCATCAATCTATTAGAATTTTCAGAGGGCGTCTGTCACGCTGTCTTAAGTGGCTCACCACTGCGAGTGCCGAACTCAGGTCAGACTGTCAGAAAACAGGGCAGACACCTCAAACTGGTGGTATATTCTATTATTAGATTTCATGAAGCCAGTAACAAATGTGAACTCCTGATCACTATATTAGCCTTACCATGGAGACACAGACAGTCTTCTTAGGCTTTCCTGCCAATCTTGCCACCCAGACAAACTGGACTTTGTGATGAAAGGTTATTAAAACCAAAAATCACCTCACATTAGGTTACTCCTAATCCAAAAGAATTGGTCACTTACCTCAGATCAAATTGGTACTCTGGATCTGACCAGAAACAAAGCTGAAGCCAATTTCTCTAGTAAACTAACTAAAGGTTTATTAGCTAAGGAAAAAAGGATGAGAGTTATTGAGAGGTTAAGCAGGTAAAGTACATTAACAGGTGATTCCAAGTTTGTAAATCCAAAATGTTAACAGAGTTGTTGTAATCTGCTAGATTTCCAAAAGTTCCTCAGGCATACCAAATGTAATTCTGGGGATCTCTGTCCACTTGTTCAGTATTCCATCCCATTTTAATCCAAAGCAGTTCAGAGATACCTGATTATTCCCTTAATCCATTCTTATAGCGGTTTCCCCCAGAAAGCAATCTGGTAAGCAATCTCCATCATAGCATAGGCTTTTTCTTTGTTGACTAAATGCAGACTGAGTCTGTGGATTTCCCATTGTTGAACATAATGATCCATGCTTTGAAGTTAGCATGCTTCTTCATTTACAGTTCCAAGGTGCCTGTCCTGTTTGATGGGCAATCCAATTACAAAGATATGCACAGTGCATTTAGTTACAACAATCCAAACAATCTTTCATTAGTTTTCATGCAGTTTTCACATCAAGTAAATTCTCACTAACATACACTTTTTGATCTAGGGTTAATTAAATACGAGGTATGCTTAATGTAATGTGATAGTAAACTACAGGTAACAAGTATGTGAAGACAATAACATTAACATTTTTTTGATATCCACACACAAGTGAATTGGCCTGTGGTTTTGATTTGAGCTGATCTGTCAGTGTCACACTGTCAACAAGCATATGGATAAGGGTGATCCAGTGGATATAGTGTGCTTGGATTTTCAGAAAGCCTTTGACAAGGTCCCTCACTGCAGGCTCTTAAGCAAAGTAAGCAATCCTGGAATCAGAGGGAAGGCCCTCTCATGATCACTAACTGGTTAAAAGATAGGAAGGAAACAAAGGGAGGGAAGGGATCTGTACTGGGACCGGTGCTGTTCAACATATTCATAAATGATCTGGAAAAAGGGGGTAAACAGTGAAATGGCAAAGTTTGCAGATGATACAAAATTTCTCAAGATAGTTATGCCCAAAGATGACTGCAGAGAATGACAAAGGGATCTCACTAAACTGGGTGACTGGGCAAGAAAATGGCAGAGTAAATTCAACTTTGATAAATGCAAAGAAATGCACATTGGAAAACATAATCCCAACTATACATTTCAAATGATAGGTTCTAAATTAGCTGTTACCACTCAAGAAAGGGATCTTGGATTCATTGTGGATAGTTCCCTGAAAACATCCACTCAATGTCAAGCAACAGACTAAAGAGCTAACAGAATGTTAGGAACCATTACACAGGGGATAGATAATAAGACAGAAAATATCATAATGCCACTTAATAAATCCATGATATGCCCACACCTTGAAAACTGGGTGCAATTCTGGTCACCCCTTCTCAAAAAATATATATTAGAAATGGAAAAAGTACAGAGAAGGGAAACAAAAATGATTAGGGGTATGGAGAAGCTTCCAGCTTTTTAATCTCTCCTCATATGGGAATGTTCAGCTTGGAAAAGGGAGGATATGGGAGAGGTGTTTAAAATCATGAATGGTGTGGAGAAAGTGAATAAGAAAGTATTATTCACCCCTTCACATAATACAAGAACCAGGGGGCACCCAAGGAAATTAATAGGCAGCAGGTTGAATACAAACATAAGGAAGTACTTCTTCACATAACACACAATCAACCTGTGGAACTCGTTGCCAGGGGTGTTGTGAAAGCCAAAAGTATAACTGGGTTAAAAAAAATAATTAGATCAGTGCATGGAAACTAGGTCCCTCAATGGCTGTTAGCCAAGATGGTCAGGGACAAAACTCCATGTTCTGGGTGTCCCTAAAACTCTGACTGCCAGCAGGTGGGGCTGAATGTCAGAGTATGGATCACTGTAATAGCCCTGTTCTGTTCATTCTCTCTGAAGTATCTGGCACTAGCCACTGTTGGAAGACAGGTCCCCAGGGTCCCCATGGACAGTTAATTCATGGCAGGCTAGTGGGAGTAGCTTCACACCCCAGCTTGCTGAAAGCTAAATGTTTGTGTAGACAAGCCCTAAGACAAGAGGAAGCCATTGAAGAGACTGAAAGTGGTGAGTGATCTAGTCTGTGATCCGGAGAATGAATATTTTAGCAGAAGCATTTTGGATAGTCTGAAGGGTGAGTGGCTGAGACAAGGTGCTGGGGGGAAAATGCACATTGGAAAAAATAACTCCAACTATACATACAATATGATGGGGGCTAATTTAGCTACAACTAATCAGGAAAGAGATCTTGGAGTCATCATGGATCGTTCTCTGAAGATGTCCACGCAGTGTGCAGCGGCAGTCAAAAAAGCAAACAGGATGTTAGGAATCATTCAAAAAGGGATAGAGAATAAGACAGAGAATATCTTATGGCCCTTATATAAATCTATGGTACACCCACATCTTGAATACTGCGTACAGATGTGGTCTCCTCATCTCAAAAAAGATATACTGGCATTAGAAAAGGTTCAGAGAAGGGTAACTAAAATGATTAGTGTTTTGGAAAGGGGAGATTAAAGAGGCTAGGACTTTTCAGCTTGGAAAAGAGGAGACTAAGGGGGGATATGATAGAGGTATATAAAATCATGAGTGGCGTGGAGAAAGTGAATAAGGAAAAGTTATTTACTTGTTCCCATAATATAAGAACTAGGGGCCACCAAATGAAATTAATGGGCAGCAGGTTTAAAACAAATAAAAGGAAGTTCTTCTTCACACAGCACACAGTCAACCTGTGGAACACCTTGCCTGAGGAGGTTGTGAAGACTAGGACTATAACAAGGTTTAAAAGAGAACTAGATAAATTCATGGAGGTTAAGTCCATTAATGGCTATTAGCCAGGATGGGTAAGGAATGGGGTCCCTAGTCTCTTGATTGTCAGAGGGTGGAGATGGATGGCAGGCGAGAGATCACTTGATCATTACCTGTTAGGTTCACTCCCTCTGGGGCACCTGGCATTGGTCACTGTCGGTAGACAGGATATTGGGCAGGATGGACCTTTGGTCTGACCCAATATGGCCGTTCTTATGGTCTTATGAGCCAAAGAGGAGGAGAAGTCACGGCGGTGACCAAGATGTAGACAAATGAAGAATATCAGACAAGTTGAGAAGATCAGTTTTTGCCATGTTGAGCTTGAGTTGTGGCAGTCCATCTGCAAGAGGAGATGTTAGAAAGGCACAGGTGATGGGTATAAATTGTGATAGAGAAGTGGATTGGGATGTCATCAACACAGAGATGGCATCAGTCTGTGGAAGTGGATAATCCAGGGGTGACCACCTTGTTCTGTGCACTGTAGGAATTGCTTTAAAAATTAGTTTTCTCTCTTCTTAAAACAGGCTGGCTGTTCCATTGAGGCAGTGTCATCATATGCCTATTCAATATATTTTTGGCTGATAACGTTGCATTGATTATTTTTTTGAAATATCTGAATAGAGTATCTGTCTATCTGAGGAGTCCAGCATACTCTATCTCCATATTCTGGGAGAAGAGACCCTTCCAAAAGAATATGAACTCTCATTAATGTATAAAGTTTAGGGTCCTTTAGGTGAACATGTGATCTTTTAATGATACAGTGTTTAAAAACAAAACCCTAAAGGATGTACTGATTCATGGTGCACACCTCCCTATCACATTCCCATCAGTTGATGTGGTAGTCACTTGTAATCTTTATTTCCATCTTAGTAGCTTATTTAACTCTTTGCCTAGTCATTTGTATTGTTCTTGGGTGCTGCTGTAAGGTGTTAGCGCGTATACATCTATTTTGTTGTTCTTTTACTTGTGATGGATAAATAAATGGAGAAGAAAAGAAATACAGCAAGATAAATAATGCTCTGGTGCTCTTGTTCAGTTAGGTAACTTTGTTTTATTGGTAGCTTAAAATTGCAGGAAGTATTAATTTGACTCAGTCGGTAGTTTCAAACATCAGAATTTGTTTCAGTTCTATATTAGTGCTTAAAGCCACAGGCTTTTAATGCACTGATGAAAATACAGATAAGTGAACTTCTTTAATAGCCTGACAAACAGGAAAAAGTTAATAAAAAGTGGGAAGTAGGATTAAGCAACAATATTCCTCTTGTCTTGTGGACTCTGTCAATATTTACAAGTTGCCCAACTAGATATTATTCATGTTAGAGGTGAAAATGCCAATTTTAGAGGAACCAGACTCAAAGCTGGGAAGTTTGGTTTTGCGTCTTTTTAAAGTTTCAATACAGAAAATGTTTAAGGTGCATTATTATAATGATCAACATTTTAAGTTTGCTTGTTCATTTCTAACATGATTTCAGTATAGTCAACATGTTGTCTTTTTATAGAAACTCAGTTTGACTGGTTGTGACACTCTACACAACAGGGGAGCGCGCCCTGTAGCCCCCATATTCCTCATTTATATAATTGTGATATTGCATATAAAAGACGCCATGTAATATATCAGGGGAAAGGTTATGATCATGCTGTAAGTTGGGGAATCGGCCAGATATTAGTTCCCCAGAGACAATAGCAAGGAAAGTAACCAATGCCCGGGCAGGTGTCAAACAACCATCAACAGCCATTGTCCAGCAAAGGAGTTACAATTCAATGACTCGCCTGCATAAGGCCACACCAGGGGCATTGCTCAACCTTGCCTGGGGACTCAGCAATGCCCACCAGACATGCCTAGACTTTTGTTCTCCAAGCACATGGACTAAGGGTATAAAACAGAACATAGTGGCCCCATGCTTGGCCTTTTCTCCTCCCCCCTCCTACGCCACAAGCAACAAGGACACTCAGAAGACTAAAAACTCCAACAGAGGAGACTGGCCCCAGGTTTCAAGGGTGAAACCTGTGTACTATGAACTGCAATATCCAGTGGGGTGAGAAACTGCTTAATCTAGATGTTGCCCAATCTAATAAAGTTGAGAGTTTAGACTGCGTGCTTATATTTTCTTTTTTTTTGGTAACTAACTCTGACTTATCACTTATAATCACTTAAAATCTATCTTTTGTAATCAATAAACTTGTTTTACTGTTTATCTTTACCAGTGAGTTTGCCTGAAGTGTTTGGTAAATCTGCTTAGATTTACAAAGGCTGGTGTATATCCACTTTCCATTGATGAAGTGGGGAACCAATTAATAAACTTTCACTGCTCGTCTTGAGCAATGCAAGACTGTATATTCCTGAGGAACAAGGCTGGGAGCTAGGGAGATTTGGCTGGTGCCTTATTCTGTGTGATTCATGAGTGGCTCTGGGAACATTCATGCAATCTAGCTGGGTGTAGGACTCCACATGCAGTTGTGCTGAGTGATAACAGCGCTTGGAGGTGTTTGCTGCTTGTCACTAGCAAGGTATTGTGAGAGACAGCCCAGCATGGAGAGTTAAGGGGGCACAGCAGTCCCACATTCCCAGGATGCACCCTGAGGATCCCGTCACACTGGTCATATGGGTACATAAGAAACAGGAAATTGGTATAACCCTTATAAATTTGGTTCTGCTGAAAGCTGACCACTTTAATAAATGTATTCAATGTATTAAAAAAAAAAAGTCACAGGCAAAGGAGGCACAGGCCGCATTCCTCCTCCTCCTCCCCCCTCCCTCCCAGGCTTGCGCGAATCAGCTGTTTGGCGGCACAAGCACTGGGAGGGAGGGGGGAGAAGCAGGATGCAGCGGCGCGCTCACGGAAGAGGCGGAGGTGAGCTGGGGGCGGGGCTACCAATTTTTCCCTGTGGGTGCTCCAGCCCCAGAGCACCCACAGAGTCGGCGCCTATGCCCCAAGCGCGCCATGTCCCCACTCCTCCGCCTACCTCCCAGCCGCCACCAAACAGCTGTTTGGCAGCATTAGCACGCTGGGGGGGGGAGAGAGGAGAAGGAGGCAGGGAAGATACAGGGCCGGGGCAGAGATTTGGGGAAGGAGCTGGAATATTGGCAGGGAGGGGGTGGAGTTGGGGCAGGGACTTTGGGGAAGGGGCGGGGCCTAATGGAAGGGGTGGAGTGGGGGCGGGGCCAGGGGCAGAGAGGGTGTTGAGCACCCAGGGGAAAGAGGGGAAGTCTGCGCCTATGATTTAGACCCCATCATTTTATATGTATAGTTGGGATCCAATGTGCATTACTTTGCATTTATCAACATTTAATTTAATCTTCCATTTTGTTACCCAGTCACCCAGTTTTGAGAGATCCTTTTGTAGCTCTTTGCAGTCTGTCTGGGACTTAACTATCTTGAATATAATGAAATATTAATTATCACAATTAATAATAATGTTACTTTAATTTCAATTTGCACTCTAAAGTTGGCACTGCATGGCAATTTTTTTCAGATTTCATCATTGAAAATGGAGATTCAGTCTCAGGAATCAGATTTAAAATCACAGGAAGATGATCTGAATAGAGCAAAAGCAGAGCTGAATCGTCTCCATCAAGAAGAGACTCAGCTAGAACAGAGTATCCAAGCAGGAAAAGTGCAACTTGAAACAATAATTAAATCTTTAAAATCAACACAGGAAGAAATTAATCAGGTATTCTCTGTAGTCTTATACACATCTTTCTCCCTCTTTTAAAGCCCAGTAGTTTAGGAAGGGATGAACTGCACCTACAAAGTGAATCCTGCAGAAAAAAAATAGACCCCTATAATTGCATAGGGGTTTGTGACTGCAGACTAGTAGTTTGATTGCCAGTTCATGTTAAAAAAAAAAAAAAAAAAAAAAAAAAAAAAAAAATATTTTTTTTAATCTCACACAAAATTACTCCTATCTCTCTTGTGCCCTTCAATAACAAAACCG